ATTATTATAAATAAATAAATTTATTTTCTTCCTGGAATAATAATTCGAGTTTCATTTATTAATTCACAATTATTATTAATAAAATAATAAACTGTACTAATTAAAAATATAAATGCGATAATTAATTGTTTATCATGACTAAAATATATGATCGTTACATCGAAATAAAAAAAAAAAAATATATATAGATTACTACTACTCTACTCTCGTTAATAATGTATAGAAGAATTCTTCAAATAATCCATCTTAATATCATTAAAATTTAATACAGTAAATTATGATCCTTTTATCTATCGGTGCATATCCTTGCCTCGTATAGAAGCAAAATAAAAATCCATATAATATAATATAAATAAAACGTTCGAGGATTCAAAAATTATTCGGTCTATCGACGAACGATGATTAATCATAGGCAAAAATTTATCATTTTCGATGGTATCGCGAATCAAGCGGTATAGCGAGAGATATCTCGTGGTAGGGACCTGGGAACCAGCTGTTCTAATCTCTTTCGACCGGCATATCGCGAGTGGAACCGCGGTAGTAGTACGCTCAACGTCAGCGTGGACGTTTCGAATCTCCTCGCTTCCAAGATCGTCGAGTTCCTTCATCTTTCACCTTTTTAAAAAACGATCGCGCGAATGCCGGGGCATCGTGATATCGTGGTGGAACTTTCAAGCGATCGGCGGTGATTCGTTTCGAAATTCCGGCCGTGTATTCGACTCGTGGCGAGACGGGGAACAACATCGGTGTGCACAGTGAGTTTGATTAATCAATCGTGAAACGCATTCGGCAAGATTTCTTCTTCCTTATTTGGATGAGCTTCGGGTAAGAAGAAGATTCTTCTTCTAGTATTCTTTTTACGATGATTATTTAAAAATAATATAAGCGTATTTGTAGAATAAAAAATCATCTTCTCGATTCGCGTGTAAACACTGTTGCAAAAATTGCTTATCATTTCGCTGTTCGATTTTTAATAGAACGAGTTAATATCGTTTCGACTAAAAATGCGGGTGATGAGGATAAAATCGAGGACAAAATATAAGATGGAAGAAATTTTCGTAAATACGCGCGCGGTATAAAAAGGAAAAAGAAAGAAAAGAAAAAGATGGATCGTGAAAAGTCGCGAAGAAAGTGGGAAACTAGAAGGGAGAAAAATTGGCTCACGATGCTCGGTAACGGTTTACGACAAGCTGGGAATATTTTTCTGACCCCAAACTGACAAGCTCGGCACAGAATGCCGCACACGAGGCCCGATTAAAAATGTGCTCGATAAGAAACTCGTGGAAAAGTTCGTGTTCCTTAACCTCCTCCACGCTGCATTTCTATTAAGTGGCGGTGGTAGCCGTCGGGAGGGACGCTGATCCAATTTACTTTTCATTCAGCGTGAGACCAACAGCAATTTGAAAATTTTCTTCACAACGCTTGCCTGCCTTTCGCGTTCAATCAGCTCGTAATTTATTCTTCGTTTCGTTTCGTTCCCTACTCTTCCTTTCGTCTTTCGTTTCCTATCAGTTGGAAAAAAGTAGAAAGACATTAGCGTAACGAGTTTCTTTCGTGGACCGAATACTTTTTACGGCAAGATCAAGCGCGTTTCTCGGAATTGTTAGAAATCGTAGGACGTTCTCGACGTTCTTACCGATTATACACCGATATATTCTTTTATTTTCTTTTCAAAAAAAAAAAAAAAAAAAAAAAAAAAAAAAATTGACTTACATCGAATCATCATCTTTTGCAAAACTTGATGATGAAAGCCTCGTTTGAACGCGGGAGAAAAAGCGTCCGTATCTCTATTTCGACGGCACGAGCAGCGAGCGAAAAGAAAGTTTCGAAATTGAAAAAAAGAAGAAAAAAAAAAAGATTACAAAATCGTCGTTGGTCGTAAGGAAAGATTCGAGTAAGTACCGATTTATCGCGCGTAGTCGATTTCTCGCTAATTGTTTATTACTCGAATGGTCGTCGGATATAAATTGCATCGCGTCGCGACGTATTTTTAATGATTCGTGGACGCGCGTATAAATAGTACATGGCGATAACCCGTTCTTTCTTTCTCCTTTCCTCACTCACACTCGCTACGACGATCCAACGTCTCAGCCGTGTTTTTATCGCGCTCCCGTCATCCTAGTTGTTCCCGTTATTGCATTCACCTTTCGTTATCACGTCAGCACCTCGATTTTTCCAAAACCACAAGTGTCCATTTTATCTTACGATCACCACGTTCGCTCCATTCCTATCCTCTATCCAATATCGTACGAAAAAAAATACGAAAAATTTATCAAACGCGGATACGTTTCGATCATTCATCCCTACATTTCTTCGTAATTTTTAAAGTTCGTGTCTTCTATACGTCATTCTCTGTCCTACGGTAATCCTGGTAATTCTTACGGTAAAAAGAAGGGATGGATCGAAACGGATTAGAATCGAGATCGCTGCCTGCCTGCCGTCTCTCCGTAGCTGCCAATAAACCGTGGTTGTCCACGGTTATTAACGCAATTAGAATAATCGATCGTCTAACGGAGTCTAACGGCCGATATCGCGGTGTAATGGCATTATTACGACGACGAGATGGGAATGATGTAAGGTGACGTGCGGCAATCCGTCGGGGGAGGGAAGGGAGAGGAAGGCAACGTTTCCTGCGGGTGAAATCAGATTGCCGTGCACAACGGAGTTGACGTACGGAGTTGTCGTCGTCGTCTAGGGAGGAACGAAGCGCGATTAAACCACGACGATTCCTGGTGATAAACAGACTGAACGAAATTATATTCCAACTCACTTCGGATCCGGAGGAATCCAACGAACGAAAAATCCTGTCTCTGTCCATCGCCAGAATAGTTTCCTTTGCCGAGTAGAGATGATTTCTAGAAAGCGGACCCCATCGGAGCCCATTTTTCCATGGAATTCGCGTTATAATCGAATGCACGAGTCGAAGATAAATCGATAAATCGAAGGATCCGCCAACAACGATCCTCCTATATTCCAACGTTTCGTTAATCTTATCTATCTTACGTTTGAAATCCGCTTTCTTCGAAATCCGACGGGAGTCGGACACAGTCTCTGGATCAACGATCCAGACCACGACGATCACCGCCACCATTTACAAGTTCAAGCCTTGTGCGTCTGCACAGGCGCCGATAACAAGTTGCATTGAAAGCCTATCGCCGATACGAGAGAGTCTCGTTTTTATCACGGTCGCGACGCTTCCTCCTCGAGAGTTGGTCGCGCGCCGACCGCGCGTAAACACTAGCTTATTATTCCAGAATAATATCGCACCGGGTAGATGGAGAAAAGGGAGATGGTGCTCGCGCCGATTTTTACATCTCGATCGCATCGACGAGGAAACGAAGAAAGGGGGAACGCGGAGGAGCGGGAGGAAGAGAGGAGAGAAGAAGTGGAGTGAAAAATGGAATTTCACGAAGTCGAATACGAACGGGGCGAAACAGTTGACCTCTCTTCTGCTTTTGATCTTTGATCTCTCGTTTCGAGATAATCGTTCGCGTAGCTGATCGAAACGATACGGTTCGTAGACGGAGCGTCGATGGATCTGCAGACCGAACGAATTAATTCTCCGCGACGTACTGGCACCGATAGAACGGCGCTCCACTCCATTCGAACGCGTTCGAACTTTTCGCTTCATCGATACATCCGATACGTTTTATCCTTCCAATTTTATTTATCTGTGAAAAGAAAACACTTTTTTTTTTCTCCCCTTACTTACGTTCTTCGACCTAAGAGGAAGCGACACGAATTCCATTCGACACGAGCCGGCTGCTGCCTGTCACAATCGGAAACGGAGGATTGTTCCGCTCGATTGGCTGGTAAACAGAATCATTATGTCATCCACAACTGGGCAGCGTGATAACGACACCATCGTGGCGTGTTTCCCAGATCACGTGTCGGACTTTCTCCTCGCGTAACGTAAATTATTTTCACGTTCGAGATTTCCCGCTTCTCCCTCTTCGTCTCTTTTATTTTTCCCATCCCACGAATCGTTTCTTCTCTCGTCGATATAAGCAACGATCGAATCTCGTCAAGGAATCTGCGTCGATACGCGGTGTCTCCGCGTGTTATCCGGTTGCTTATACGAGATTTATCATCGCGTCACGAAGATAAAGAAAGAAAGAAGGAAGGAAGGAATTTATTTTTATCCCGTTCCGTTTGACGCGAGAGAGAGAAAAAAAAAAAAAAAAAGAAACGTACGATAAAATCGAGACATTACCTGTTACCCCACGATACGCGATACATTTAGATAGATTCACGAAAAACGAGTTGTTGAACGAGAACGAATTTACGATCCCTGATTGGCAATTGCTTAACGGAATACACGCGAAACGATCGACCCAACGATTTTCGGTATCGAGAACGTTTGTCTTTCTCAACGACGACGGGTGCAACCGGTCGAATTTAACCCGTGTTCAATGTTTCAAGAGGGTCAACATTACTCGTCGTCGATCGGAACGCCGATTCGCTTCCCACCCATTTCCCTCTACCGTGTATCTATGCTGTACCACTTTGACCGCGATAACGGGCGAATTATCATTGTTAACCAGCTATTAGCGGCTCGGTGTCGTTGCATTAGCGTATCGTCTAGTCCGCATTTGTTCAAACGCCGTTTAATCGCTGCCGTTTAATTAATAAACCATCGAAATCGCTATTTGTACGCATTATACGTAATTGTATCCATTTTTTCCTTCAAACGTGATTTCTTACCTCCCTCGGATTCTTTCTCATTACGTTCCTTTATCTTTCCACCCATTTATCCGATTAATATATTTTATTTTCGCGCGATTAATAACGAACTTGTATCTCTTCTATCGAGGAATGTATCAAGGGATACATGGATATATACACGTAAAGTATCTCGATTCTCGACGTTGAATCCATCATCCATGATCTTTTTGTCCTCGCAGAAAGAACGATTAATGGAAGAAACGTAGATCGAATCATCTTTGTAGAAAAATTGTGGAAGATGATACTTTTTTTTCGCGTTGAAAGGAACGATCAATGATTACAAAAAAAAAAAAAAAAAAAAAAAATAGAAAAGAATTCAGGGAATTTTTCGAGGGAACCGCAGACAAATAGAGTTAACAAGAGGCTCGTACGGAAGGAAAATTCTCTGCCAGCAATATCGTAACGTTATTAAGAGTGATCACCGACGTTGCAGAACTTTCCGCAGACGCAAGGAGACTTTTTCACGGACACAATGGGAACAATGAGGAACAATTTCGCGGCGGTCTTTGTGCTTCACATCCTGATGCACTTGACGAGTCAATCCCTCCCCCTACGCGGCACCAACGAAAATTCCTCCAAGAGAAACAGTTTGTCCGAACTGCGATCGACGTCCTCCCCGATCTACGAATGCCTCTTCCTAGATCCGGATCTGCCCGTTTGCGACGAGAAATTGTGAGTTACTTCGATATCAAAATTCTTTCCTTATTTTTTTCTTTTTTCTCTGTTTTCTCTCTCTTTTTTTTTTTCCTTCCTTTGATCGTGCAAAGGACATTACGTATTACGTGGTATAATAGAGTGACGATTCGCGGTAATAAAAAAAAAAGTTTGGAATCGCGTTAAAATCCAGAGAAGAATCGAAAAATTTGAAAAAAATAATCGAAAACTTTATTTTCTTCGATGCGAATCGTGTTTTTTTTTTATTTCTTTATTTTTTTTCTCCCTCACTCTTGATACCAGAGGAAATAATTATTTAGATGCTCGTCGAAAAGTGATATATACTATTTTTCAAATGATATCGTAAAATTTATTATATAGCGAGATAGAGATATAGCCATAAGTATTTACAATATGTGAAAAAATTTTGTTTGATCGTTTAGAATGTTGAAGTTGGCGGAGGATTCGTCGAGCGATCAAGATAATTTTGGTAAAAATAGTGGGCGACGCTCGACGAGAAACGTCGATGCATCCACGACGGACGTCATAGTGTATACCATTGAGGGTTGTTTACCGTCTAAGTAAGACTTCTACATTTTTTCTCTATTCGATCGATATTTATTTATTATATTCTTTAGACGCTCGAGAGAAATAGAGGAAAAGTATATAGTATTTCTGAAAAATATTCGTACATTTCAGAATTGAATTTCGAATACCGATTGTTACTTAACAAGATTATATATTATTTGAAAATTAAATAATATAAGCGTTGTTCAATTCGTTGTTGCGTTAGAGATAGAGATCAAATTACCCTGTGTGTGCGTTTCGAATGGAATTAAACTACAAAACGTCGTAATGGTCGAATCGTTCGACAGGATACCCTTCTCGATGCCTTCCTGCGAGGGGATTTCCTTGGACAAGATCGTGGATGTGCAGAAATTCCGTCCCTTCGTCGTGAAGGGAGTGACAAAGCCACCGTTCGTGTTCCCGAAATTCAATTATCGCGAATGGCAGCGTATGATGATGCGGTTGCAGAATCATGTTTCGCCAGAGACGCAATTCGTAAGTAATCGATTCGACTCATCTTGTATTTATCTCAACATGGTGGTAAAATTAAACGTTGCTCGATCTTCTTTCGTCATTCATTTTCTCGCTTACTCACCACGCGTCTCTTTCTACTTCCCTTATCCAATTAATCAACAATTAATTCATAAGTTTCCTTCGAAATTCATTCGAAACGATCTTATCTATATTTTTCGCGCGATTCTCCTCCGCTTTCGATCATTCGCCGATATTCGACAACTTACTGGTTTCAGAAAGAAGAACAGCCGATCGGTACGTCCGAGGAAGCGGCGTCGTCGTCGTCGTCGTCGTCGTCGTTCGTCGAT